ATCCCCTTCATGGAGAAACACCACACTCATTGATTTAGGAGCATGCTAAGAACATAATGTTCTCTATGATTTTCAGTATGAATACTGAATTTTACTTTTGTTTGTTTGTTTGTTTTTGGTAAAAGCCTCCTTGAAGAAGTATTTTACTTTCACTGAATACAAGAGACCATCATTTCAACCCTCTTCTGGCTAGATTTCCCAGTCTAAGTGCTTAGATGCCTTACTCAGAAGCAAATACTGCTGTATTGGGCTAAAACTACACATCTAATTGGTCTTTTGACACTGATATGAAGGTGAGAGAAGGTTGGTGCATTTTCCTGTTCCCAGAGCACCATTCCCGTGCGAGGTGCAGGAGCAGGGCTGGTCTGTTTCTAATAAAATCCCAGATGTTCGGAAATCATTATCTGCTGTTGTATAATAACAAATCTCCCTTACATTTATTAGGTTAAAACAATCCCGGGGTTGGAGTCTGGTGGCTCTCACCTGTAATCCTATTTCATTAGGAGGCTAAGGTCTGAGAATCATGGTTTGAAGTCAGTTGGAGCAGCAAAGTCCAAGTCTGAGACTTTTATCTCCAATTAACCAGCAAAAAGCCAGCAATAGAGGTGTGGCTCAAATGGTATGGTGTGTGCTTTGAGCAAAAAAGCTAAAGGACAGTCCCCAGGCTTCCCAGCTCTGAGTTTAAACTCTAGTATCAACACACACACACACACACACACAGACACACACACACACACACACACAGACACACACACACACACACACACACCTCACCTCCACCATCACTACCACCAGCAGCAGCGGCAGCAACAACAAAACCCAAACAACTCTGTGCCGGACTGGGATGTGATCCTTGTACTCATGCTTTCTTGAGTCACTGAGGATGACAGGTATGCGCCACTATGCTCAGTCATTGTACTTCCCCTGTAGTTAGGATGACAGGCACGATCACTGTATCCACCCATTGGCTGAAATGGGGGGAGGAGGGCTCTCAATTTTATTTTTGCCCAGGCTGACCTCAAACCACAATCCTTCAATCTCTACTTTCCAAGCAGTTATATCACAGGCTTGAGCCACTGTGTCTGTTTATCTCTCTATTATCTTTTTAAAGATTTTAATTGGTATATAATACTTGCATATTTTATGGGGTATAGAATAATAATGCAATACATATGTGCAGTCTAGAATGGTCAAATTGATTAGCATTTCCATCTGTTCAGACATTCATCATTAGGAGCATGTGGACTCTTCTAATTATTTTAAAATACATCATAAATTGTAGACTAGAATTGCCCTTGCTGACCTTTGAATCACTGGAAACCTTTCTTCCTGTCCAATTGGACTTTGATTGCCATTATCTAGCCTCTAACTTTCCTCTTCACTCCCTTTCCTAATCTTTACTGAGCAGTATTCTGCTCCCTTTTTCTAAGAAACAAATCATATTTTTAGCTCCATAAATGAGTGAGAACAGGAAAGTCTTTGTCTTTCTGTGCCCCACTTACTTCATTTAACATAATATACTTCATTTTGTTCTTGATTCCCAGAAGTGACAGATTTCATTATTTTATGGCTGTAAAAGATAACACTGTGACACATTTTTTAATCTACTCCTCTACCAACAGACACCTGAGTTGATTCCAGACCCCAGGCATTGTGAATAGTCACAATGGAGGTACCACTTTTGCAAACTGATTTCATGTCCTGTGTGTGTGTTTATGATTAGTGAAATTGCTGAGTTGTATGGTGAACCTCTGTTTTTGAGGAATATTGGTATTTTTCCATAATGCTATACTAAGTTGTATTCCCATCAACAATGTGCGAGAATCTGCCATACTTTGAATCTCATCAGCATGTTTTTAGTTTGTGTTTTGGATAAGAGCCATTCTTGTCCCCAGACACCCAGAAATGACATCTCATTGTCTTTTAATTGCATCTTTGGAGCATTTTTCCATACACTTATTGGCCACTTACATATTTCTTTTGTCTATTCTGATTATTTGCCCATTTTAATTGGATTTTTATGATGAGTTTTGTGAATTTCCTAGATATCAATCCTTTGTCAAATGAGCAGTTTGTGCATATTTTCCCCCATCTGTAGGCACTCTCTCTCTCTCTCTCTTTCTCTCTTTCTCTATCTATCTCTCTGTCCTGGGGCTTAAACTCAGGGCCAGGGCACTGTCTCTGAGCTTTTTTTACTCAAAGCTAGTACTCTACCACTTGAGCCACAGCTCCATTTTCAGCTTTTTGATGGTTAATTAAAGATAAGAGTAGAAGAGATTGAAGATATAAGCAAAGAAAAAAAGCTATACAATTGACCATGTATATTTGAAAGATGAATAAAACTAGATGCCAAAATCTGAACGGTGATTATATGAACCAATAATAATATCATTAGAGAGAGAAATCCAACTGACATATGCACCCAAAAGCCTGAGCTGGCTTTGAACCAAGATTTTCAGGTCTCAACCTCCTGAGTATGTAGGTTGTCTCTTTACTTCACACACACACACACACACACACACACACACACACGTGAAGGTGATGTACAGAGGGGTTACAGTTACATAAGTGAGGTAATGAGTGCATTTCTGTTACCTCTTCCCTCGCTCTCTCATTTCCTTTACTGTGCAGAAGCTTCTTAATTTGATACAATCCCAGTTTTCCACTTTTGCTTTTGTTGCTACATTTTTGGATTATATATTTGTGTGTATATGTGTATACACACACACCTATATAATTAAAATCTTTGTCACCATCTTAGAATGTTTCTCCTTGTGTTTTGTCTCTGTTTCTACCATTTTACCTATGTTTTTCATTCAAGTTACCTTTCAGTTTCTTCTTTTCTCTTTAGTGCCTTCCTTTTCTATCTCTTGTGGCTTTCTTCCTTCCATTTTTCCTTCTTCTCGGTTACCAAGCCAAATACCATATTCCTCTATTTATTGCAGATATATTAGGCATTTTAACAAGCATACTTTATTAATTAAAATCTAAGTCATTTACTTTCTTCTTTTCTCTCAACAATATAGACCACAGACAACTTGCACTATGGCCATCCACCGCCTGACTTCTATTGGGTGCATATGTCAGTTGGATTTCTCTCTCTAATGATATTATTATTGGTTCATATAATCACCGTTCAGATTTTGGCATCTAGTTTTATTCATCTTTCAAATATACATGGTCAATTGTATAGCTTTTTTTCTTTGCTTATATCTTCAATCTCTTCTACTGTTTATTTAAACATGTGTGTGTTTGTTGATTTGGGGAGTTGTTGCATAGTTACTTGTGCTGAAGTTGCTTTTGCTGACTCGTTCATGGTGCTGTATTTGTGTTTGGTTCATGATTTGTGAGCTTTTGCTTATAATCCTTGGAAGTTATTCATGTAATTATGTCCTGTGGATGGAAAGGAGAAGGTGGGCTCCTTCAGTGCAGAGCAGCTGCAGATGCCTTCCTGGGTATCCGAGAGAACTGTTAACCCAGGGGAACTTTACAGCAAATCCTCGGTTGCAGGTTTTTGTGGACAACTCAAATATACCTTATTTCTGCAAGCCGATATAAAGTTAGAATTATGACGTGAACACTTAGGAGAGATTCTCTTTCCATATTCGTGCAGTTCAAGTTTCTAGTCCATTAGTATGATTCACAGTTTTCTAGAAATCTAAGATCAAGGACAAGTTAGTTCCCTGTTCACTATGAGAGATGAAATGTTGGGTGCCATCTGTTGAATAATTTCAACAGAATTTATTCTCTGAATGGAAATTTTCCTGGGACATTTATTTTGGTTTTGGAAAAAGTTAGCAGCATCTATGGAAGGTTGCTCTGGACAGGTGTGTGTGTGTGTGTGTGTGTGTGTGTGTGTGTGAATGAGTGTGCACCAGTACTGAGGCTTGAATTCAGGGCCTGAGCACTGTCCCTGAGCTTTTGTGCTCAAGGTTACGGTTCTGCCAGTTGAGCTATATAGCTCCACCTCCAGCTTTTTTGGTATAATTGGAGATAAGAGACAACCAGAACTTTGTTGCCTGGGCTAAGCCTGAAACTGTGATCTTGAGATCTCAGCTTCACCTGGCTCCCTAGACAGACTTTTGAGCATGGTGAGGTCAGTTGCTAATTTCTACTCACCATCTTCAGTGCCCATTCCAAGTAGAATTCATGTCACACTGTGGAGAGGGGCGTGGCCTGGGAAAGACATCTTGAGCACGGCTCTATTAATGAGCACAAGTTCTTATTCATCTACTCACACTCCCCCATACCATGGCGGAGGCCTCTTTCTTCTACACTGAGATCCTGGCTCCACTCTCACAACTGTTTGGTTTTTCAGTTGAAAGTCTTGCTTCTTCTCAGTATTTCAGTGCTCTCTCTTTCTCTCTGGGATCTTGGACCACATCACACCTGCAAGACCATCCTCCCTCAAACTCCTCAGCTCCCGAAGTCATTTGGAACAGTAGTGTGTCCTATGAGCCATTCACTCTTCAAGCTTTTTTTTTCAAGTTGTGGGACTTTAACTCAGGGTTTAGGCACTGTCCCTGAGCTCTTTTACTCAAAGTTAGCACTCTGCCACTTTGAGCCATAGCTCCTCTTTGGTTTTCTGGTGGTTAATTGGAGACTTTCCTGACTGAACTGACTTTGAACTGTGATCCTCAGATCTCAGCCTCTTGAGTAGCTAGGATTACAAGCATGAGCCACCATGTTCAAGCTTTGACCAGCCTCTTCAACTCATCCTCTCAAGTACTATTTGACCCGATCCAGACCGCCTCTCCTCCTCTTTCTCTTCTCACTTCTTCCTCCTGATAACCCCGTCTCTCCCACAGGTGTTCTATCCTAAGACATTCTATACAGGATGTCACAGTTCCAATTCAAACCCTCTCCCACATTTTTGTTTTCCATGACAAGTCAGCTCTTTGGCCTAGCACCAGACCCACATGTGAGCCATGTTCAGAAGGCACAGTCCCTAGCCGGTCACTGTCCAGCCCTTTCATGCTCTATTTTTTTTTCACTTCTAGTTCAAGAGGCTAAGAAGAAAACCTGGAGATGAGACCTGAAGGAAGATGGAGCCAGGCTGCCCCTGTGGCCTGTGAAGAAGCAGACTCGGTTTCAGGAAGGCCCACCACCGATGTAGACGAAGAAGATGGCAGTCCCCAAATCTGCCGTGTCTGTGGGGACAAGGCCAATGGCTACCACTTCAATGTCTTGACATGTGAAGGCTGCAAGGGGTTCTTTAGGTAGAGTCACGCACCGACCTTCGCTCACCTGCTGCCATGGGTACACTGGGGCACATCGAACTGGATCTTCCCTTAGCCCTCCATGCAGTGCCTCAGAGGCCTCAGTTTGCTCTGTCTCCAATCTGTCTCCATTCAAACGAGCCATTTCTATAGCAGAGGAATCTTTCATCTTCCATTCTTGCTGGATGTACCCAGTCAAGGTCCCCTTCCCTTAAAATACTCCTTGTTCCTCATGGGTTCTTGAATAAAAGATGAGTCAGTAAAAATGGAAAGAATAGGGAAATCCAAGGGGCAAGTGTTCAGTCTTATAGGGAAATTAAGTAAAGATTGGGCATACAATGAATGGATAAAATAGTCTCATCTCGAAATAGTCAGGGAGGAGCCACAAATGAGGGACTAAACTATTCCATCTCAAAAGCAAGGCAGCCCTGGGCAGAAGATTCATATTGTCCAGCTGAAGAAACAGAAAGACTAGAGTCAGGCAGCTCAGCAAGGCTACTTTCAGCACAGAAGGGAGGGGAGAAAGGAATGGGCGAGGAAGGATCAGACCACCCCCACCTTTGAGTCCTTATTTATTCCCCCAATGGCCAGCCTCATTTGGCTCCCTCTTGCTTCCTGGTGGCTGAATATTCACCTTTCCCCACAAATCCTAAAGATGGGGTACTGGTCAACATGTGGGTAGAGCACTCAGACTTCTGCCCCAGGACATAGGAGGAGGACCCCCCCCCCCCGAGCCTCACTGTAGTAAGCTGTGTGTTGTGACAAGTTCAGTGTCACCAGAGTGAAGAGCCCCCAGCTGCCATGGCCAGGCCTTGGGGACAGACCTCCAGGGCTGCTCCTGCAGCTAGCTGGGCGAGCCAGGCCTCTCCTCTGAGTAGCGTGTGGCCCCAGCGGCCTGGCGTCCCTGGCCTAGTTGGGAGCCAGGCGTTTCCAGCACGGTGCCGCAGTTGCCCCCTCTACTCTCGCAGGAGGGCCATGAAACGCAACGTGCGGCTGAGGTGCCCCTTCCGCAAGGGCACCTGCGAGATCACGCGCAAGACGCGGCGGCAGTGCCAGGCCTGTCGCCTGCGGAAGTGCCTGGAGAGCGGCATGAAGAAGGAGAGTGAGTGATGGGCGCCGGCAGGCTGTCCGGGCACCGTGCGCTCTGGGTGGGTAGGTGGGATGGGGGGCGGGGGGTCCCCGGGGAGAGGGGCTGGGGGAGGGACGCTGGGGGCGCACACCGTGGCCAGACACGGGGGGCACTCACTGGTGTGCACACACACTGTGCGCCTGGATGTGAGCGCGCACGTGTGCGTGGAAGGCTGCAGCTGCTGGTTTCTTCTCACCTGGATGAGGAGGGCACGCGTGCACAGCCTGCTTCGCGGCCCTCCCCACCCCGCAGTGATCATGTCGGACGCTGCGGTGGAGCAGAGGCGAGCCCTGATCAAGAAGAAGAAGAAGGAACGTCTGGAGGCGCAGCCCCCCGGGGTGCAGGGCCTGACCCCCGAGCAGCGCATGTTGATCGCGGAGTTGATGGACGCTCAGACGAAAACCTTCGACACCACCTTCTCCCACTTCAAGGATTTCCGGGTAAGAGGCCTTTCCACCTGGCTGCAGCACCTCATAAGCCCCAGTGGGTTTATCCCTCGCCCCCAGGGATTCCTACAGGGGAGACTCAGGGAGGTCCTGGACTCAGGAAGCTCCAGAACCTTGGGGGGATTTGTTAGGAATGCAGATTCCCAAGCACTTCTCTGAAGTGGGAGACAAGACTCCCTGGGTTGGAGAATCTCTGCCCAGTCTTCCCATTTTAGGTCTGAGGCTAAGCGGAGAGGAGGCTAAGTAAGGTCCCAGCCTGTGGATGGCATAGGGGGATTTTTGAAAGGTCTGCTGGAATAATGATCTTTCTGTGGGCCCTCCCCCAGGGCCTCTCTCCCTGAGTGCGCACAAGTATCTCAGGTGATCTGCCCCAGCTCCCCGAAGGGGATTCGATTGGCCCAGAAATCTCAGCTTCTGCCCTTTCCACCTGTAGCTCATGAGCCCCACAGTAGGGATGCTTGGGAGAAACATCTGGAAGGAGAAACACCCTCACTCCCACCCTCCACATGGACCAGGCATGAACACGTTTGGCCATTCATTCACAGATTCACAAAGCATCACCCGATAGGCCCAGAAAGAAGGAACAAGGGCTGAGTGTGCATGCGGCCGCGCATGGACCTGCATTTGTCAGGTGCAGTGGCCATGTGGGGCATGGATGGAAACATCTCCATGAAAACACACAGCCTGTCCCCTCCCCCGCCTCCTGTGTGCATTCTAGCTACCAAAGGTGTTCAACAGTGAGTGTGAGACCCCAGAGCTCCTGCAGAGTCCACTGGGAGAGCCGTCTCTCAACTGGAGTGAGTTCAGGAAAGAGCTCTGTCCCATGAAGGTTTCTCTGCAGCTGCGGGGGGAAGACGGCAGTGTCTGGAACTACAACCCCCCGGCCTACAGGGATGGCAAGGAGATCATCCCCATGCTGCCCCACCTGGCTGACATGTCAACCTACATGTTTAAGGGTGTCATCAACTTCGCCAAAGTCATCTCCTACTTCAGGTAGGCCATGAGGGTTGAGGGGGGAAATGTGGAGAGGAAAGGAAATGGCCCAGAGGTTCACAGGATCTGGGGCAGGCCCCCAGGAGTTTAGGGGATGGACTTCAGTGGCAAAGGAGAGTCTGTTAACCCCAGCAAAGGGCTGTTGTATGAAATAAGAAATGTCTCCCCAAATAATGGCCACTTCGTGGACATTCAGGTAGCAATTCCCTTCCCTTTTCCACCAGAAGGGCAGAAATCACAATTGGACTTTTTCAGAGCCAAGAATGAGTTGGATGGGAAAAAGAAAGAATTCCAGAGAGGGAAAAGAGAAGAGAGAAGGGAATAGACATTGGACTTCCAGCTGTCTGCTTCCAAGGGGAGGATGGGTGGCACTGACATCCAAAGATCCAGGTCTAGACATAGCTGGACATAGAGGTCACAGCCAACTGGGCTCATCAGGCAACCCAGTACCCCTTGTGTGATGAGAACCTAGTCTCATAAGATAAAGTCTCAAGGACTGGAGAGGGTGCAGGGTATATTTGCCTTGGGGCTAGCCACCTTGCTTGCTAAGCCTGGACAAGTGGGGCTGAATCACACATGCAAAAAGCCTGGATTTCATTGGTAGGAAGAGGGCAGGTGCTAATAGCCAGGCTCAAGTCATCCAGGCTGTCCGGAGAGAAAGGGCAGAAAGAAGTATGTGCACATTAATACTGGGAGCGATTATCTCCACTCTACAGAGCTCAAAAAGGAGTGACATGTATGGGACTCTGCACTCTGGCAACAGCTCTAGGAGGCGCAAAGACAGCTTGGCTTGAAAAATGAGCACAATTTACTTAGGTGATGCTCTAAGTAGAGCAACTGAGGCAGAAGAAGGCTAAGAAACAAGAGCTAAGACATTGACTGTAGGCCACTGGCTATGTCAGAAGTTGGAGAGGATGGGCCAGGTTGTAAAGCTCCTAGATGTCAAGCTAAGTGGGCCTGGAGGGCTCCCGAGGGCAGCGGGAGAGGAGAGGATGCTGTAGGGGAAAGTCACTTGCTTGGCTGGACTGTCATGGGCAGAGACTGGAGGGAGCCATAGTCCTCTGGAGGAGTCCTTCCTGCCTGTTTTCCTCCTCCTTTTCCTTCTCCTCCTCCTCTTCCTCTCCTCCTTCCCCTTCTCTCCTTTCGTCTCTCCTCCCTTTCCTCTTCCTCTCCTCCTCCTCTACCTCTCTCTTCTCCCCCTCCTGCTTTTCCTCCGCTCATCTGCCTCTCTTTCTTTTCTCTTCCTTCCTCTCCTCCTGCTGCCTCTTCCCTTACCCCTCCCTCCCTTTTCCCTCCTTTCCTCCCCCAGGCCCCTCCTCTCCCTGCTTCTCTTCCTCTTCCTCCTCCAACTCCTGGATTATCGGGGTGGCCTGTGGGTAGTTTCCTGGGAGCTGTGATCCCCTCCCCATCCTTGCTGCCAGGGACTTGCCTATCGAGGACCAGATCTCCCTGTTGAAGGGAGCCACCTTTGAAATGTGCGTACTGAGGTTCAACACGTTGTTCAACACAGAGACGGGGACCTGGGAGTGTGGCCGGCTGGTCTACTGTTTTGAAGACCCTGAAGGTGCCCTGGTGGAGGGAGGTGGGGAAAGGAGGAGGCGGTGGTGGGAGGGAGGAAGCTACAATAGGCTATCCTGGGCTGGCAGGGCAGGAAGACTGGGCAACGGTGAGGGAAGGCTGGCTCCTGGGTCAGTGTCCTGTTTCTCCATCAATATACCCATCCACAGGTGGCTTCCAGAAACTTCTAGTGGATCCTGCGATAAAATTTCACTACATGCTGAAGAAGCTGCAGCTGCATAAGGAGGAGTATGTGCTGATGCAAGCCATCTCCCTCTTCTCCCCAGGTGATGGCTTTGCCCAGCTGGTGTCATTTCCTCAGAGGATCTGCCCCTATCCCACCCACCCTCTCCCCAGGGAACTTTCCCACCACTAGCCTGGCTCCCCTACTCAGCCCCCAGCTAGACTGCAGACAGGATGGTTTCTCTGGGTCAGTGGGGTGACGCAGAGAGCGCCAACGGGCCTCCTTCCCAGCCCTGCCTGGGTGACTCCTCCAGCTTTGAAGGTGGGGAGGGGTGAAGGGGGGAGCCTGCCTTTGTCCGGCCTGCCCTTGCTGATACCATTCCCTTCCCTTCGCTCCACAGATCGCCCTGGTGTAGTAGAGCGCAGGGCAGTGGACCAGCTACAGGAGAGATTTGCCCTCACCCTGAAGGCCTACATTGAGTGCAGTCGGCCACAGCCTGCCCACCGGTGAGAACAGGCAGGGAGAAGGCTGCCTAGGGCACTGGGATCCTGCTTGCAGCTCTGCCCTCCCGCTCTCTGCCTGCCTGAGCCTCTCAGGCAGCAATATATGTCTGAGGTAGCCTCTGACATCTCAGGCTCTGGGGATGCATCCTGTGGCCTCCACCGAGACCTGCCCTTCCTGGTTAGCTCTGGCACCAGCCTAGCCATGATGAAACCAGAGGCTAGATCAGATGAAGGGACATTTGTCTGCTCTTATCAAAAACCAGATGCCCCCTCCTACAGGGTCTTCTAGCAATGGCCAGTAATGAGCCATAATGATAGTGCAGATAACGATACTGACCATAAGACAATCTCAACAATTATTATTTATTGGGAAGTGCTGGCCACAATGCCCAACAATTTGTGTGTTATTATCTTTAATCGCCCCAGAATGTAGTTGTAACAGTGTCCTGTAAAGGGCTGAGGCTCAGGGCTATGGCCTAGGATTCTACAGAGGGGTGGAGACTGGCATGGGCTCAAAACAGACCAAAACCAAAGCATAAGCTTTAACACTTTCCCAGGAAGAGTAAAAACCAAGACCAGGAAGGAAGCAACCTATCTGGTTCTGGTTGCAACTCAAAAGAAGGCTACTTGGAAGGTGGCCTCAACAGAGGCTCCCACACCCTCACTGGACCTTAGTATTCCTACATTCTAGTGTCCAGTCTGATGCCCACAGCCTGAGGACCAGGAGAAACTTGGGTCACAAAGAGCCTGATGTCTTGAGGATTAAGGCAGTCAGCCCTGGTACTAGAGCGTTGACTTGAAACTCAAATTCTCCCTTGGCCCACACCAGCTTCCTTTTGGGCTCAGAAGAAGATGAGATGCTAGAAGTGGCCATGTCAGTCTTCCCTCTGTATGTAGCCAAGAGGCTGGAGGTGCCAGCCAGCTTTCTTTATCTTCTGGAGAGAAGGAGGCATGTAGTGTATCCAGACACTAGATCCAGAGTTAAGTTCAGGAAGAGAGCTGAGTCTGCAGGTCCTGGCTCCTGGATTTTAACCAAGAAAGTGATCCCTGGTCCCTTTTCCCTAACCTATGTATTTGATGGCTGTAAGTCAAATACATTTATGCCTGTAAGTGCCTTTCCCACTAAGATCTCTATGTACTACTCAAGGCTTTTAGGACTTTAGCCTCTGGGTGGGGTGGGATTACAGCTTCTACCTGAAATGCTGGCATGCCGTCTGCCCTCCTTGTAGATGAGCTAAAGGAATTGGATGACCTGAGCTGTCCCGAGATTGACCTTGCACTCTCAGAGATGTGTCCAGGGGGCTGGAGGATGGGAGAGAGGGCGGCTGTATCTCCATCCTCTTCCTCCGGCTGACCCACAGGTTCCTGTTCATGAAGATCATGGCTGTCCTCACAGAGCTACGGAGCCTCAATGCTCAGCACACCCAGCAACTGCTGCGAATCCAAGATACCAACCACTTCTTCACCACCCCACTCATTCAGGAGCTGATCAGCAACACAGATGACTGAGAAGCTGTCTCTAAGTGAGGCTTCTGTGGGACAGGCAGACCCGGAGCCCTCCGCCCGAGCTGCCACTTCCAGGGCTACACAGATGGACACCGTGATAGCTCACACTGCCTTGTGACCCCAGCCTGGCAGGCATTTCTCCAGAAGGGGACTCAGTTCAGCAAAGGAAAACTACAGACCCCATGTGGACAGTACTAGCTTAAAGTTCAGGTCTATCAGGGTGGCAAAGCTGCCCTTCCCTTAGACAAAGCCCTGTGGTCTGGGAATAATCTCTAAATCCCACTAAGTCCCAAATCCCACAGAAGTAATGGGGTTGGGAGAGAGAAGGGGTGAGCAGGCCGGGGCCAAGTGATGGTCCACACTCATATACCAGCTCAATGGCTTGGCTTTTCATCGGCATTTTTAATGTTCAACCCCAACACCCAGCCACTTTCTAGCTGCTCAGAGGATTCCAGGCCTGTGTCCATCATTCATGCAGTGACTTCTTATCTTCTAGAGAAGCCAGGAGGCCTGCATTACATGCAAGAAGCGTGTCACGACCTTGTTCTGTGCACATTATTCTGGGTCTGTGCATCCACAGACCCAAATACATTAATACTATCAAGACCTGCTTGAGTTGGTATGCAGCAGTGACTGGGATGTGGCTTCTGACCTGAGTTTATAGTTAAGAAAACAAAGCACTTGTTATTAATAGTTCCCCAAACCCTGTCATAACAAACAGTTATTACAAAAATCAAAACAAGTGACATATGACATAGCAGAAGGAACTTTACATGGAGGCTGAGCTGCACTGGGTTCCGTGAGACCAAGGTGCCAAGGACAGGTCCCTGTGGGAAGACAGGGGCTGCCTGTCTGACTTTGGGTAGGTATATCCACTCCCATTCTGACTGGGGCCTGGCTTCAGATGTGTGGCGACAAGCCCAAGGTGACAGTTAGTAAATGTGCCACTTGCATGCACTGATGTTCCTGTGCATCTCTTCTCAAAGGGTGTAGAAGTGTCTGCCTTGCTCACAACCATTTATGAATAAAAATGTTATTTCCACAATCTACACTTCACTTTACATAAGAATGAGGCTTAGCAAATAGATTCCTGGGTTTCATGTGAAGTCAAGGCAAGGAGATTTAAGTAATAAATTTTAGGCCAGATATGTAAAACTTTTGTGATCTCCTTTTTGGGGAAAGAAAGAAATGTGGGAGTAGGGAAATAGAAATTTTAACAAATGTACAACACGCCAGGCACTGGTGGCTGACGCCTGTAATCCTAGCTACTCAGGAGGCTGAGATCTGAGGATCGCAGTTCAAAGCCAGCCTGGGCAGCAACATCCATGAGACTCTTATCTCCAACAAACCACCAGAAAACTGGAAGTGGCACTGTGGCTCAAGTGGTAGAGTGCGCGCCTTGACCTGAAGAGCTGAGCATCAGCACCCAGGCCCAGAGCTCAAGACCTATGACAGACAAAAAAAAAAAAAAAAAAAAAAAAAAAAAGAGCACAACATGATGTAATCTCAGCACTCAGGAGGCTAAGGCAGGATCAAGAGTTTGAGATCAGCTTGGACCTCCATTGTGAGACCCTGTCTCAATATATACATGTATACGTGCATATTTTACTATTTTATTACTGCCCTTTATACCTACCTGTAGACTCCGCTGGTATAAAAACATAAACATGATTTAATTTGTTCATGAGTGTTCTGTACAAACACTTAAATGCATATAAATGTAAGACTGATTTTACCTTTTTTGTGTGTATGCTGTTATTGGGCACTGTCATTTGGCTTTTTCACTGAAGGCTGGCACTCTGCCACTTGAGTCACAACTGTACTTTTGGCATGTTGGTAGTTAATTGGAGGTAAGTCTCATGGGCTTTGAACTGTGATTCTCAGACTTGAGTTTCCTGAGTAGCCAGGATTACAGGTATGAACCACCAGAGACTGGCACTGAATTAATTTAAAATATGTTGTTACAAAAAAGCTGCAAGCGGGGCTGGGAAGGTGGCTCAGTGGTAGAGCGCTTGCCTTGCATGCTCGAGGCCCTGGGTTCGATTCTTCAGCACCACATAAGCAAAAAGAAAAAAGCCGGAAGTGGCGCTGTGGCTCAAGTGGTAGAGCACTAGCCTTGAGCTGAAGAGCTGAGGGACAGCGCCCAGGCCCAGAGTTCAGGCCCCACGACCGGACCCAAAAAAAAAGCTGCAAGCAATTGAGTTGCTTAATGCTCAGCATTGCCCAGGCCCAGAGTTCAAGCCCCATGACTGACCAAAAAAAAAAAAAAAAAAAAAAAGGCTCAGCATTTTACAAGAAGCAGGATTTTTGTTTTTTGCTAGTCCTGGGACTTGAACTCAGGGCCTGGGTACTGTCCCTGAGCTCAAGGCTAGCACTCTACCACTTGAACCACAGTGCCATTTCTGGCTTTTTCTGTTTATGTGGTACTGAGGACTCAAATCCAGGGCTTCATGCATGTTAGGCAAGCACTCTACCACTAAGCCACCTTCTCAGCCCCAAGCAGGATAATTTTTGAGGAATCACTAAGTGAAAGTAATAAACTTATTCTTTCTCCTACCTTTAGATTTACTAGTCTCTCAATGGGCTTCTTTACTCCAGGCTGGCACTCTATCACTTGAGCCACAGTTCTACTTCCTGTTCTTTTTTTGCTGGTAACTAAAGACTTTCACTGACTTTTCTGGGCTGGCTTTGAACAGCAATTCTTAGATCTCAACCTCCTGAGTAGGTAGGTATACAGATGTGGGCCACTGGTGTCCAGCTAACACTGGTTTTGAAAACAGGGTCTTGCTTCCTGCCTGGATTATAGCTGGAAGGTCAACTTTGTGGGGATGAAGTCTCATGGGCTTTTCTGTTGGAGCTGGCCTAGAACTACAATTCTCATCTCAGTCTCTGATAGGTGCAAGCCACCATGCCCAATTATTGGTTAAGGAGGGGTCTTTCATATAATGCCCAGCTGGCCTTGAACCACCGTCCTTCCAAACTTAGCTTCTGGAAACTAGCTAAGATTGCAGGAATGAGCCACTAAAACTTGTTTCCAGTATTCATTTTTAAAACACTCAAGCAGCTTCCCCAAACAGTAAATCAATGGAAGACTCATAGATTGTAATGTAGTGTGTTGCAAGAGTAGTTAAGATGCACCATTAGATGCACTGATGCACAGGGTGCCTTTTCAGCAGCTTCGTGTTTCTCTATTAGGATGAGGAGCCAGATTCAACTTTTTCTTTTGGTCATTCATGGGGTTTTAAATCTGGGCCTGGACACTGACCCTCAGCTCTTCAGCTCAAGGCAAGCTCTTTACCACTTGAGCCACAAGTGCCACTTCTGGCTTTCTGGTGGTGAATTGGAGATGAGTCTCATGGATGTTCCTGCCCAGGCTGGCTTTGAACTGCGATCCTCAGATCTCAGCCTCCTGAGTAACTAGGATTACAGACGTGAGCCACTGGCACCCAGCTTCATAGACAGTCAACTTTTTTATTCTCAAACATTTCAATGTCCTCCTCATTACCCCCTTCTTTGAGCTTTTAAAACAAGAACTAGACATCTCTGTGGCCTCTTTTCTTCAAGTTCCTGGCTCAGGAGGGGAAGATTCAGCGTTCAGAGGATAGATCTATATGTTATTGCCTACCTCCTGGCACTTACCTGCCTCTGTCATGTTTTGATATGGACAGCATATCATGTGGGAAGGTTGACTGGCCCCTCACTTCTGGAGAAAAGCAGTTACAAAATCCCAAAGGAGCCTTTTCACATTCTAAAAGAACAGCTTACAGGACACCAAATCCCAGTTCAAATAGTGATGGTATTTCCAAATTAGCGCAGCAGAGAATCCATGCCAGTTGTAGACCTGTGCTACAAGCACAAGTGCTATTTGTGTTTCCTCCCCCATTAAAAATTGTTAAGGCAAATAAAGAGAACAAGACTTTATCGAATATAAATTTGTTTTTATTGAAGCAGCAGTCACATGACCTTTTATCTAGCCTTTAGGTTAGGCCTGACAATTAAGCCAGCCCTGAAAAAAAAAAAAGATGTTTCTTTTTGCACTAAGAGACAGAACATGTTTACATACATCATCCAGTATTGGAAATGAGCAGAGTCAAACACAATGTGTTGGTTACCTGGTAGGTACAGCCCCACTGTTTGTGGTGTTCATGTTTTACAGAGACCCTCCCCAAAGACCATTATTAATAGGATGAAAGTTAAAAGAAAATACAGCTACACCAAAGTATGAACACAGTAATCAAAAGACAGCAGCTTTTACACATTTTTACAACTGTCCCTTTCAGGGATATTTATTTTTCAAAGCAGTGTCAGCAACCCTTCCTCAGTATCAGATCCAAAGGTTTCCACGCTGGAAGCTGCACCTCTTGTGGCTATGCAGTGGAGTTAAGGTTATTTCAAAGAACGAGACATGATGGTGACGCCTTGATTTTTGTAACAAAGAGTCATGTTTCCCTAGGGGGGGTGGGGTGATGTGACTACATTATTACAGTGGCAACACAGGTAGGGTGAAGAAAGAGGGTGGGACTGAAATAAAGACCACACACTTGTGAATTTTAATTTCATTTCCAGACTAACCTACTTTTTATTTAATGCAAATTACAGTACCAGTTAACTATTTCCAAACCAAGTCACATAGAACGAAATGTATTTACAAGGGAATGGGGAAAGAGGAAAAAAAAAACATTGAGCATACTTTTCACAAAAAAGTTTATATTTAAAATGAAAAAAAATTCAGTCACAGAGGCATTCAAGTAGTAATAATGTTATACAGATTTTGCTTTTCCTTATATCAAGACAGATTTGCACAAGTGTTTGCAATAGTTTGTATACAACCCACAGTCCTTTATATATATATATATATAATAAATTTTTAGATTTGTTTTTAAGATGGAAGTGGTCACGCTAATTGGTATGTGTACAGGCCCAAGTGATCCATCGGCAACACATTTATAAATGCAAATTTTACAGGCAAGCACATTTTCATACATCTATCTGTATCTGCCTGTAGACAGATATAGTAAGAAAAAGAAACTTAAAAAAGTTACCACAAGGAAGTCTACTTTGTCAAGAGAACCCCTCATGTACTGGTTGTCACTTTACTCTTATTGTGGAGGTGCAAAACGGAGCAACAAACTTGAATAAAACGGCATAATCTGCATGAAAATAATCCAAAACCCAGGGATTACTTTCAGACTCTCACAGGTAGAATTTAAGTCTGGGACTCTACTTTGCTTCTAGTTGTTTCTCTTATTTTCAGTGGCTCAGATTTCTACCAGAAAAGACAGATTACATTGTAAAGCATGCTTGTTCTTTCATATAGGGGAGAAAAATGTTAGTCTCTGTGATGACAATGATCACTAACATGAATAGGAATCAGATACAATTCTGATTAAAAAAAAAAAAAAAAAAACAAAACCCCCAAACTCCTGGGGATCTGGCATTGGCCAAACTTCCTTTGGAAGACTCCAAATTCATTGAAAAGGAAAAATAAAATGCCAGTGTCTTTATATCCACAGGGTTAGAGAATGAATAATCCTCTCAGAAACCTTTGCATTGGTGCAGACAAGATGGCTGGCTAGGCATACCTTTATTAAAACACAAACCAAAGGGATGACTCTAAAAATTAAGAGGACTTTTTAAAAAATGACGCATGTCATTGGAAAGAAGGTGCAGTCTTCTGCCTTGCTGGAACAAACACATGATGTTTTAAAAATAGCAACCTTTGGTCTTTTTTTTTTTTCTTTTCTATTCAAGACATCATATGTGGAGTAGTTGGAGGCAAAACAATACTATTTTTCTTAAAAGTAAAAAAGGCCTTCATTTTGGGCACACAATAAGAATGAAACTTTCTTAAGAAAGAAATGAAAAGACATTTCATGGAGCAGGGGTAAAGGTGGCAGGATTGGGTGGAGAGTTCCCTTGTTAGACAATGACCCTCCATCAGCATGGCGCCAGTAACTGCCAACGAAGGCATGTACATCACTGATGGAACAAAACACAGTACTACTAAAACACCTTGATTTGTACAAAAACAAGAAGACAAAAACAAAACCCACTTTTTTTCTCCCTTGCTCTCATTTGGGAAGGAAGTACATAAGGAGAGAGCCAGCACAGAAGGCTCTTAGAATCTGTTGTTACTAAGACCCAGGGCTGGGGTTTGTGGAACAGATGCGTATGATGTAATCTATTCTATATCCTCCAGCTCTAGAGCTTCCTGTGCTATACTGAGTCCCTGAATGGACTGTGCACAAAGTGAAACCAAAACAAAGGCCAGGCTTGAATGAAATGAGATTACAAACATGTTTTCCTCTTCCCACTCCTGAGCATGCTGTCACTGAAACTTATCTGGAGGGGTAGATATTGTTATCTCAAAGGGAAAAGAGATGGACAGTGTGACATGGATAAAGGAGATCAATTAAAACTTTAAAAAAAAGAGAACAAAACAAAAAACTAAACACATGGAAGCGAAGGCACTCCAAACTATATAGATACACTATACATTGCTAGAGTTATTGTTACAATAATACAGGCCGGTACCTACTGTACAGAGTTAAAACTATATGGCTTTAAAAAGCTCGTCTACATTTTGTCTGATTATTAAACAGAATCACTGCCCTGAACAGTAACTTTTTGCTCATTAATAACAGTTCCTGGGTCCATATATTTACATACAAAACAATAAAACTTAAATTTAAAAACATTGAAAGAAAATATAATGTACAAGCTTGAATTTGGTGAGGAGCTTTTAATTATTATTATTATTATTATTATTATTTACACAGATATTCAGAGACCTGGATCTCACTTGTATAAAAGAGTTCTATGATCCTGCCATGATCCTTGAGAAAGAAAAATCGTGCACCTCTGCCCTCACACATGCATGTGAATGCACACACACACGTGCAAACACACCCAAACACGCACACTGAGAGAAAAGCATCTGACTTTCCTCTCCTCTTCTCTTCCTCCCATTTGTAGGGGGAAAATATTCTCTTACAAGCATTGATCTTACTGGACTCTAGCAAGTGCCCCGAGTCCAGCTTAGTGTTTGTACCCAAACATCTGGCTGGGCAGTTTGATCTGAAAGCTGGTCCATTTCTGTCATGGACCTGCCTGTTCAGATTCTTTATAAATCCTTTCTGAAAATGGTCTACCAGGTCATCCCCTGCTGCTAAGTAATTTTTTTTTTTTATTTCAAATCTTAATTAACTCTCAGAAGCACTTTTTATAAAAAGGAAAGTTCAGTTGGATTTGGTTTGACTGAAGTTTCCCTTCTCATGAACTCTGATATAACTAGAGGTTTGAGAAACCTCTTTTGTGACCCAAAGAGCTTAGCGAAACAGTGAGTGAAAATTAAGATGGCTCACAGTTGTCCTTCTGGGTATCAGCAGGCAGTATGACTCTTGAGGAGTCACACAAATGGTTAAGCAGGATAGGGTGTTGGGGCCTGTGTGAGGGCTGCCAGGAGACTGCACTTCCTAACCACCCAGAGGACGAGACCCCTACTATGACCTAAGATGGCAATAAGAAGGGTGAAAGGAGGCTACACACAACCTAGGGCTCAGCTCTGAAGCCCTACAGTTAATCCCAGCGGGGAAGGACTGGGTGGGAAGGAAAGGCGGCCATCACTCAAGTGATCTTTAAAAGTAAGATCTAACTGATTGTGCCTTAAAGATTCATAGGTCAAGTAATGGCCCATAAGCACCAAGGTGACTAAGGTTCTTTTAGAGTATATAAGGCCCATGAAAATACCAACCTTAAAAGTATTTAAAAAAAAAAACTAGTTATGAAAATCTATTTCCTCACTGCAAACATAATCCTTCAATCCTCCTTGCTTTCCAAGGAATATTGCTTTTTCTTCAAAAACAAGAGACTGATTCTTACACCATTCACTGATTAACAAAGAAAACAGAAACAAAAACTCTGAACTGGGTGTGGGGGAAACATTCTTCTCATGCTTCAACCAGTCAACTTTGATATTGTAGACAGAAATAAAAAGGCAGTATTGAATATGTATATATAACATATACACACATTTATAGAATTAGTTTTCCTATAAAGTCAGCAGGTACAGGTGACTGTTTATTATTTTGCTGTGTACTTTTTAATATTCCTACCATCTAAAATCATGGCCTATCTGACATGCATCAATAAATAAATTTAAAAAGCATGAGTTTAAAAAAAGCTGAAATTAAATAGATTCTAGATTTGGATTTAAAATTAAAACTATAGTAGAATGTGGCGATTCCCGCAAACTTGATTTTCAATTCAAAAAACGAAAAAATAAAGCAGTAGACTGTTACAGTTCACATTATTTATCTATAATGTCCTCTTCTCAAGTGTATCTCTCCACGGGAAGTAACTTTAGACAAAGCTCTGGACAAATTCGTTCACAGTGGTGAGATCTGCCCCTGGCCTGGCCCCTCCCCTAGGCCTGTCAGACTCTGGCCTTGCATGCAGATGGCTTGCTCAATACTCTCCAATCTCTTCCTAGGGAACCAGTTTAAAACTGTATGACTTGCAGAGAGCCTTTGGTCAGGCAAACAAAGATCCACTTGCAGAGTTCTGCGAACATGTAAACAAACCTTAACCAATCAACTTACAAACTTCTCTTGTAGTTACAAACTTTATTAACCTCCCTGGGTTACAAAAGATACATGTATCCTTTTTTGTTTTTTATTTTTGTCTGCCTGCCACACCTGCCATCATATGCCAAAGGCAAGTCCTCAAATACCAAGAATATGCATTAATTTTACAAGTGACATTTAAGTCCCTGTTGAGTTATACCTGCTAAGCTCCCAACCAATTTCAAGTTGTGCACTATACCAAAGTCTTATGCTAGACTTCAAGAGAAAATAAAGTTCAAGAAAACTTCAGCACAGAACAAGGTTTTCTTCTTTTATGGAAGGGGCATGAGGCAGGAGCCCTGTTTTTAAATACACAACAGCAGACTTTTGACAAAAAAAAAAAAAAAAAAAAAAAAAAAAGATTGTCACGGGAGAGAGATTGTGTGTTCTAGTGCTCCGATTTCCCCTCCCAGCAGCCCTTCCGCCCCCTGGATCTCCTGCAAAGTGAGAATACAATGAAATTGGTTTGTATTTATAGGTATTTTACAAGGTTAAATAAGAACAATAATAAAAAAAATTGAACACTAAAATGAACAAGTTTTTTTTTTTTTTCTCTTTTTAATTTTCTTTCCAAACGTGACCAGTGTTGCTGAGTGACACTCAAGTAACTGGTGGTTTTTCCTGTGCAGCTGGCTACTTGGGACTGTTCAGGTGGAGTTGGAAGCTGATGCAGAAGCGGCATTATTGGTCTGTCCACGGTCTCCAGCATTAGCATCTGCAAGTTAAAAGTCCCAAGAATGCATAAGCAATGCTTTAACACTCAGAACAAGTCCATTGCCTCAACTACAGACTGAGCTGTATTGTTATTGGGATGAAACCTGAATTTCTTCCCACTTAAGACCTAAGCTCATGCCTTTACAGGACTGACAATACATAAATGCTGAGTTAAGACTCTAGCATGCTAACTTGAAAATAAATGAATAGTGCACAGCTGGAAACTCTTACTGCATTCTGAGCTATGTTCCAAATATGGTGAATGAAAGAAAGACATATGGGTCAGTGTAATTCAAACCCAGTTGCTTGTTTCCTACCTGCTGTCATTTTCCATTATTAACAGAGATGGAAGACAATCAGCACACAAGAAGTAGCCACTGTTCTCTTAATGCGTTCACTCGTTCAATAAAGCATTCTGCAGTCATGTATCTTGTCTGATCTCCCCAAGGTCAGCTTCACAGCTAACCTCTATCTCCTATCCCCTTTTAAAGATCTATTATTTCATGGCACCTGTTGGCATTTAAGTGGGTATCTGTGTCCAGACTGGCTGGCTCTCCATCCTGGATAGACAACAGACTGTTCTTTCAGTGGCTTTCATTTGTATATACAGTGATGGGGAATGTACTGCTGGCCAAATATTCCTCCCAAAGACTTCATCCTAAGTCCTGAGCAAGAGAAGTAGTTTGACTTGGATGGGCAACTTCTAACAGCTACCTCCCTAGTATTCTTGGCCACCAAAGTTAATGATACCAAAAAAGCATACCAGAAATTTCTGTCTCTCTACAACGGAAGGGATCTGTAATTTCCCATGTCTTATGATGAGTAGCATAAACAATGAAAGGACTGAGTGCAAACATTTGGTCCTTTATCTTTCTTTGAATTTATTAAGCTAGAGTGAGATATAAGAGATCCCAAGGAAAACTTAACCATTCCCTTACTGCTTAAGAAAATTTAATCATTTCTATAGCTACTCTAAAAAACAATATTTCTTTTCCAAATTCCTAAATAAGAATAAACAAGGACTTAGTTTCATAAATTATGGCACAGTCCTAGAACGTTAAATATTATATACCACTATATATAACATAGTAAATTAGCTTCATCCACAAGAGAGCATAACCCTAACTGAGAAGAAAAGCACTTTTAGTCCATGCATACAAAAAAGATAAAAGATAATATTAATTGTAATTACTTTAGAGCCAAGAACATAGGAAATTTTTATTTTCTAAAATATGGATTTTAGGCCATAAAGCAAATCTTAACAAATAGAGGAAAATTGATATTTTTTGGGGGGGAGGGGGCTGGGTAATGTTGGTTGTATGGTTTAAACTCAAGAGTCTGGATACTGTCCCTTAGCTTTTTTTGCTCAGGGCTAGTGTTCTACTACTTGAACCACATCTCCAGTTCCAGTTTTTTTTTGGTAGTTAATTGAAAGTAAGAGTTTTGTGGATTTTCCTGTCCAGGATAGCTTCAAATTGTAATCCTTAGATATCAGTTGCTAGGATTACTGAAATAGCTTTTCTTTTCTCTTCGTGTGTGTGTGTGTGTGTGTGTGTGTGTGTGTGTGTGTGTGTGTGTGTGTGGCGGGGAGGGGGGAGAGAGAACGTGTGTGCATGTGTACTTAAGTCCTGGGGCTTGAACTCAGGTGTTGTCCTTCAGCTTTTTTGCTCAAGACTAGCACCTTACCAGTTGAACCATAGCCCACTTTTGGCTTTTTTTGGCTTAACTGTAGATAAGAGTCTCATGGACTTTCATACCCAGGTTGGTTTTGAACTGAGATGCTTAGATTTCAACACCCTGAGTAGCTAAGATTACAGGTGTGAAACACTAGCACCTGAAAGTTACTTATATCTTACTAGATCATAATGGAATAAAATGAAAAATCAATAGCAAACACAAACTACATAAACATATTTAATTGAGTAATACACTTTGAATGAAAATAGTGGGTCATGGTAGAAATCAGGAAGGAAATTTAAGAAAATTCCTAGAATCTAGTTAATACTAAAATACAATATACTTGAATTTGGTATGTCAGAGAATGTAGTTCTAGGAGGGGAGTTTATAGCTGTTAGTACCTACATTGAAAAGTCAAAAGATCTCAAATAAATAACCTATGATGAATCTCAAAATTTTAGAAAAACAAGAATAAGCTAAACTTGAAATTAGTAGATGGGAAGAAATAATAAAGATCAGAGTAGGAACTAACGAAATGGAAAACTTAAGCAATGAAATAAAGCATTATTCTTTGAAAAGATAAGACTGACAAGTCCTTGGCCAAACCTAAGAAAGAAAAAAACCTAAATTAATTAGAGATGAAAAACAGACCTCATAAAAAATAAAAATTCACATATGATCAGAGAATATTTTAAAAACATATTCCAAGAAATTAGAAACTCTAAGAAATGGATATATTTCTAGACACGTATGACCTATGGATACTGAACCAAAAGGATATAAATAATTTAACCAGAACTATAAAAAGCAATGAGACTGAAGCAGTAACAGTCTCCCAATGAAGAGGAGCCCAGTAGCAGATGGATTCAATGTTGAATTTTACCAGTCTTTTAAAGAACCAACACCAATGTTTCTCAAACCATTCCATAAACTAGAAAGGGAACAAACACTAACCAGCATCACTTGATATCAAAACCAGAAAAGGATATCACAACAACAAAAAAACCCAAAACTATACACCAATATTCTAGATGAGAATACATGTAAAAATTCTCAATAGAACTACTGAAACATTAAAACATTTATGCCATGAACAAATTAATTTCATTCTAGTGATCAAGAGTGGTTCAACATATGCAAATCAATAAAGGTAGTAAAGCAGAAGCAGGCACCAATGGCTCAACTTGTAATCCTAGTTACTCAGTGGATGTTGGTATGAAGCCAGCCAAGCAGACAAATCTGAGACACTCATCCCAATTAACCAGCAAACAGCTGGAAGTAAAGGTGTGGCTCAAGTGATAAGAGCATCAGCCTGGAGTGAAAAAGCCAAGCAAGAGTGAAAAGCCCCGAGTTCAAGCTCTTGTATCAACACACATGCACACATAGAGAAAAAAGTGAAACAACACCTTAAATAAAATCAAGGCAAAAATCACAAGGTTGTCACAATAGATGTAAAGGCATTTGACAAAATTTAACATCTAGAGACATAGCTGAAGTGGTAGAATACTTGCCTATCAAGTTTCAGGCCTTTTTTCGTGAAACTAGGAACAGAAAGGACATATTTCATAGCAATAAAGTCTATATGTGACAAATCTATAAACAATATCATACCAAGTGAGGAAAACATTTTCTCTAAGTCAAGAATGAGACAAAGGTATCTACTCTCTTCATTCTTATTCAATTGAAGTATTTGAATTCCTAGCCAGAGCAGTAAGGCAAGAAAAAGAAAAGGGATTCTAAAAGAAAAGGAAGAAGTCAAAATATTCCTATTTATAGATAATAACCTATACTTAAGACCCTACTGACTCTACCTAAAATCTCTTGGCACAACAGAATACAAAATTGACATAAAAAATCAGTAGCTTTTCTCAGTAACAACAACAAATAGCTTGAGAAATCAGGAAAATACAGCCATTCACAAAAACCTCAAAAAACAAAACAACAAAATACAACAAAAAACAAACTGGGAATAAACTTATCTAGGACAATGAATGACTTTGACCATGAAAACTACAAAACACTGAAGAACCAAATTAAAGAAGACACTAGAAGATAAAAAAGATCTCTCTATATTCATGGAATGGCAGAATAATTCCTGTGGAAAAAAAGCTACATTAACCAAGTTGATCTACAGATAAAATGAAATCCTTATCAAAATTCTAATGACATTCCTCATGAAAATAAAAAAACAAAAACCCTAAAATTTATATGGAAGTTCAAAAGACCATGAGGAGCAAAACAAATCTTAGGCAAAAAGCAATGCTAGAGGTTTCACATTTGAATGAAGCCTATTACAAAACCAGAATAACAAAAGCAGCATGCTTTTGGAACAAAAACAGACACATAGTCCTCGTGAATAGACTAGAAGACCCAGGAATAAACCTATATAACTATAGCTATGTGGCAAAGCTATCAAAAATATATGCTGAAGACAGCTTTTACAACAAATGGTATTGGGAAAACTGGACATCTACACGTAGAAGACTGAACTAGATCTGTTCTGTACAAAATAAATCCAGCATGGATCATAGACCTTATATAAGTCTTGAAATGTTTTATATTTTATATATAGTATATAAATATATAAGAAAACAGCAACAGCTTTCTGAATAGGACTCCAATAATAGCTTAGGAAATAATAACATGAATTAACAAATGTGACTGTAACGGATTAAATAGCTTCTGTACAACAAAGGAAAAATTAGCAGAGTAAACAGACAGCCTACAGAACAGCAGAAAATTTGTCAGCTATTCATATGACAAACAATTAATATTCAGAATAAGAAACTGCAAAAATTGAACACCAAAAGAACAAATAAATCCGATCAAGAAATGGAGAAATGAACAGTATTCAATAGAAGTATAACTGGAAAATAAGAACATGAATTATTCAACACCCTTAGCCATAGATGAAATGTAAACCAAAACATTAGACTTCCCTCACCTCAGTCAAAATAAGCTGTTGTCAAGAAAACTACAGTAAATGCTGGTGAGGATCCAGGGATAAAAGGAAGCCTCATACTCTGCTGTTGGGAATGTACATTGGTATAGACAGTACAGAAATCAAAATGAATACTAAAAAGAAAGGATAATCCTGTGATACCACTCTTGGACATAATACTTAAAGGGTAAAATGTTCTACCACATCTCACATTCAACTGATCTGATCATAAATCCAATGGTCACTATACACAGTACTCTCATTCCATAAAGAGCGATTTATGTTATGTGTTATTTTCAAGAAGTTCTTTAGAGTCACATTTAACTATAATGCACCAAGATAACTAAAGTGTTTTAAAAAGGAAAATAATATGAAAGTTTTGGGAGAGAAAATATAAAAGCATCCTTTACCTATTAATTATATACTTGCTAATCCTTATCTACATTCAAACATACATTTGACCATAGTTGTCAACATGTATCCTAAGATTTAAGAATTTTTCCCACATAGAATATGTCTGTAAATATTTATAGTATTCATAACAACTGCTTTTTATGACCACATAAAAGTGGAGATTCTATGTGTATTAAAATAATTTCCTGCCAGGCGCACGCCTGTAATTCTAGCTACTCAGGAAGCTGAGATCTGAGGATCGCAGTTCAAAGCCAGTGTGGGCATGAAAGTCCATGGGACTCTAATCTCCAACTAACCACCAGAAAACCACAAGTGGCACTGTGGCTCAAGTAGTAGAGCACTCACCTTGAGCAGAAGAGCTGAGGGCCCAGGCTCAGAGTTCAAGCCCCACAATCAACAGACAGACAACACAGACACAGACACAGACACAGACACAGACACAGACACACACACACACACACACACACACACAGACACACACACAATCCATCTGGCTGCTAGTAGCTTACATCTATGATCCTAGCTATTTAGAAGGCTGGTATCTGATGATTGCCGTATGAAGCCAGCTTGGGCAAAAAAGTATGTGACTTTATCTTCAATTAATGTCCATGAGAGCACTAGCTGTAAGCAAAAAAATGGCCCTAAGTTCAAGCCCCAGTACCAGCACAAAAAGAAGAAAGAGGAGATATTTTCTACTGCTGACCATTCAAAAGCTTGGCTCTCTTACTTGTTACATATAAAATTTGGTTATTATATAATTTATTATTTATTATTCCTATGCTGTATACAGTAGCTTTTTTCCTTTTAATAGATTTATCATGAAAATAAGGGCCCTAAGCTTGTGATTAGTGAATTAAAAGTATGAACTCTGATTATTATACATTGAAGGGCTTACCAACAAGTTTTTAATCAATGCCTATCGATCAGTAACTACCTGAACACAAAGAATAATTGAAACACCTACAAAAATAAATTTCCTCTGCTTATCATCCAGCTTAGTAAGATACAATATATCTTTACAATTTTCAAGGAAGGGAAAAATTATTATGAAATTGCATTTTGTTACTCAAAGATTTTTGGAGAGAACATAGAGAATAACAATTATTTATAAATTCCTAGGATAACCACAATAGGATTTTAGGCAAAGGGCACAACAAAAAAATAAAAATTTAAGAAAAGGTCTATTTTCTTCATTTCCAGAAAGAGCAATATAGAATTAACCAAAATGTCGGCCTCTATTTTTAAATTCAATAGGACCTAACATTTGGAAATCATTTAATAGCTTTGGCTACTACTAGTAATCAAAAACCAACCAACAAACCCAAAGTCAATTCCATTGTACCTGCTTTAGGACTAAGCTTTGATCCTAGGTCCACATGATCTAAGAGAATTTCATTCTTACTTAAGCCAGACATAAACATGGAAGATTCTGAGATAGTCATTTGTCCAGACCGTGGTCTGGACAAAGAGAATCTAAACTGCAGTTGTGCTGAGCATCAGTAGAAATAGTATTTTAAATGATCAGATGGTAATCTCAAGTTTTTGCTTTGCTTCTGAATTCCTATTTTGGTGATCTAAAACTATTTTTAGATGATTATTAGAAGGCACAATAGAAGGCTATTGGAATAGGCACTATCATGTTATTGATAATGTTTTGTTAACTGCAAGTGAATTTGCCTCTACAAGTATTAATTTTGATGTATGTTCTCTAACAGAATGACTTAAGTCAACTAAGCCAACTGACTCAGTAACTTAGGGGTTCATATTCTTAATTAAGCCCAGGCCATGCTAGGCTCAGTACTGCTGTAGTATACTTAGTGTGAATGATTAAGAGTTTCTGACTTTGAAAACTTTAAATTTGAAGCATTTCCAGTTTCAGATACTCTAGATGTAGAACTTTGTAGACTGCAAGTTTATTTCTTTGTACCCTGAAATGTTTTTGTGAAGAAAGCTTTGTTTATGCTTGAGAGACAGGTTCAATCTACCCTGAGTCACAGATTCTTTCATTGTCAAGATGTATGTCAATCTTAAATAACATGCTTTTCCCCCTCCTAAACAAGTCTGGATCTGTCCTTTCTTAACAGTAAGACAAAAAATAAAAAGCAGTTCTCTTTTACTAAGGACCTACTGAATTAGCAGGCAAAGGCCTAAGAACTTTTAAGATTTCAATCTCTTTCTCACAATTCTGTAAGTTATTTATTTAGTATGTCTACTTTATGGAAAGGGAAACTGAAGGTAAGAAAAGCTGTGGGCATGAATATTTTAAGGTCTTATGTAAAAAAATAAATAGAGGGCGCTGTTAATGCCATATAGTTAATCTCTTTATGTAGACCATAGACTAGAACACTGAGGAACACTTAAAAAAAAAAAAAGCATCTATCCCCAAAATGCATTATTGTATTTTTGTTGGAATACTAATGAGAACGTCACTTTTATATTTCTTTTGTTACTATATATAACATCTGGAGGGGAAAAAATCTCAAGCACCAACACTGCTTCTTCTAAATCACGAATATACTTTTCATCTAATGAATAACAGCACTTCCTTAATTTACTTTAGCCACTACAAAGCTCAGAGTAACATGAAATCCTCCCTGGTACCAAAGACTCCTTTTTTTTTTTTTTGGTTGGTCATGGGGCTTGAGCTATGGGCCTGGGCACTGTTCCTCAGCTCTTCAGCTCAAAGCTAGCACTCTACTACTTGAGCCATAGTGCCACTTCTGGCTTTTTCTGTTTATGTGGTGCTGAGCGAACCCAGGGCCTCAAGCCTGGAGGCAAGCACTTACCACTGAGTCACCTTCCCAGCCCCCCAAGACTCCTTTCTAAGCATACAATGTGCTCTAGAACCTGAGTTGCAATCATAATGAACTAGTTCAGTATTTCAAATTAAGAAATTTCTAAGGTCAGAGGTATGACTCAAACAGTACAAAGCTTGCCTAGTAAGTATAAGGCCCTGAGTTCAAACTCCAGTACTAAAAAAATAAGAAAAGGAAGGTTATTATTCTTATTCAAAACCTAACAATTACTTTTATAAGTAATCATTTTTATAAACAATCTAAATTCTAATTCTGGAAATGAGCTCAATAACTAACCATGTGTTTAGGGTTATGATTTATTTCTTATTGTGAGCAATCAATACAATAATAAATGGCTCATCTAAATTAACAGGCCATAGTGGTTTTTGTCCTAAATAGACATGGTCATAGTGTTTGGTTTTGTAACTGATTTATTTATTTTTGAACATATTTGATTTTTGCATTACTTTGGGACAGTACTGCTATTCCATTTTATAGATTAGTTAAATAAGACACTGATAGAACTGAAGGGTCTTGTGACTTTCTCCAGAGAGAACATGTGCTAATGTAACTGGAATTAGGCAAAAAGGAGATTTCTTCCTAGATTTTTTCCTGGGAGGTAGGATACATACTACAGTGAAACGTTTTTTTTTGTTTTTTGTTTTTCTTTTGGTCAGTTGTGGGGCTTGAACTCTGGGTCCAAGTGCTGTCCTTGAGCTCTTTAGCTCAAGGCTACTACTTGAGCCACAGCACAGCACCACTTCTGGTTTCCTGGTAGTTAATTGGAGATAAGATCTCACAAGTCTCACAGACTTTCCTTGCCTGGGCTGGCTTTGAACCTCAATCCTTAGATCCTAGCCTCCTGAGTAGCTAGGATTATAGGCTTGAGCCACCAGTGCCCAGCTCAGTGAAACAATTTTTAGACTTTATAGCCAACATTTTAAAAGATTAAAACCGAGCAGGGTCTGGATGCTGTGGTTCATGCCCAGCTACATGAGAGGCATAGGTAGGTAGATTGAGGTCTGGGGCTGGTGTTGGGCAAAAACACTGAGACCCTGTGCAAAAAATTTTTTTATATCAAACATATATACATCAATATATAAATCACAAACATTAGGAATGTTTTTGTTTTGTAAATTTATTCTATTTTACTCATTTGGCTAGACTTTTGGTACTTTAAAATATATAATGAGATTATGTCATCTGTGGGGACCTAGATCTGCAAAAAAAATCATATTGAGTGAAGTAAGCCAGGCTTAGAAAGACAAAAAGTACTTATTTTCTCCCATGTGTGAACTTAGGCCCAAAAAATAATCTTTCATGTAAACACATAAAGGGGCATATGCACATAAACATGATCAGGTAGACTAGAGAGGAATATATGCAGGGGTGAAACAATACAGTGCAAATCCTTTGTACAATTAAGACAGTCAAAATGAATATCGGGAAGTTGAAACATGTCTTGAATGAGGGAGATGTAAAGGAGGTGGATGAATGGAAAAGGGAACAGAATAGATAGTAGACAAATAAGACCTAATAATCCATGTGGATATGTGAAAAGTGAAGCGAGAAACAATGTGGCTGGTGGGAGAAGGAATGGCTCTCATCAGGTGCACTGTACCTACCAATGGAGAGACATATTAAATTATACCCCATATGCAACTTGTCTCAGTTTAAAAAAAGTTCATACTCATTACATGAGGTGGAGGCAATCATAGTTTGTTTAAAGAAATACAAAATTTTTTAAATAGAAAGGACTCATGTTTCCTCACCTGAGGCTGCTGTGGCATTTGTAGGGGTTGAAGCAGCTGCTTGAATCCGAGCATGAGGAGGAATAAGGACAGTAGCCAGAGGTGGATTACTTGACAGTTCTACAGAATGAAAGACAAAAAAATTAGAGCCCACTCATCTCTACTTTATATGTGAAAAGACTTAAAAAAGCTTCAGAGTAAGCCTATTAGTAACATGTTTCCACTTCTCACTGGCCTACTATGGCAGCACTTGATTAGGAATCACAGCAGGGCATGTGAGTGTGTCACTGCACCTGCATATGTAGGCAGATGGAACTGAACGTACAGACAATTCACCCAACAGTTTAAGACCTACCTAGGTACAACTGAAATCAAGATTTAAAAAAAATTGTTTTTTAGTAAAAAAAACAAACAAATTAATTAATTAGTCATTAAAAAAAAGACTACTTTTTTGTGTTAGTCCTAGGCCTTGAACTTGGGACCTGGATGCTTTCCCTGAGCTTTTTCACTCAAGGCTAGCACTCTACCACTTGAGTCATCGCTCCATTTTTGGCTTTTTTTGGTGGTTAATTGGAGATAAGAGTCTCATGGACTTTTCTGCCCGGACTGGTTTTAAATTGCATTCCTCAGATCTCAGCCTCCTTGAGCAGCCAAGACAGTGGCTGGCAAAAAAAGACTGTTATTACAATGTTTGGAATAGTCTTCTTTACCCATTTGTAGGAAGGTTATCTCTGCCAACTGTATACAATCTAGCTTTGTCTAAAGAATCAAGTTCTTGAAATAAATTATTTTAAGACATTGAGTGGGTATGTATATATGACTCTGGCATTAGTTTTAGAAAGTGTGACTAGTTTTTGACTGCTAGTCCAGCACTCAAGTCCAGAACTGGTGAGTGCCTGTTTTCACTCTTGTAATTGTAAGTTTGTAGGAATAAATTATATGATCATACTAGCTACAGGAAGATATTATCCTCTCAGCTATAAGTCTGACAATTTATAGACATAGTGTGAACTAAGAAAAGTTAGGAAATAGTGATTTTAATGAAGATAAAATTCACATAGTACATAAAAATCAACCATTTAAAAAAGTGGGGCTGGGAAGGTGGCTCAGTGGTAGAGTGCCTGCCTTGCATGCATGAGGCCCTGGGTTCGATTCCCCAGCACCACATAAGCAAAAAGAAAAAAAGCCGGAAGTGGCGCTGTGGCTCAAGTGGTAGAGCGCTAGCCTTGAGCTGAAGAGCTGAGGGATAGCGCCCAGGCTCAGAGTTCAGGCCCCACGACCGGACCAAAAAAAAAAAAAAAAAAAAAAGTGTACAATTCAGTTGCATTGTATACATTTGCAATGTTATATAACTGTCTCTTCTATCTAATTCTAAAACATTTTCATTACTTGAAAACAACTTCAAATCTATGTACTCAGCTATTTCCAACCACACTCCCCTCTAAGTCCCTAGGAAGGGAAATGAGTGTCTCAATGCTTTAGTTTGTAAAATGCTGTGCGGCGTGCGGTGTAAAGCCCTTACTTAGCTTACTATTTAAATATCAAAACTGTTTAATTAGATTCTAAATGATACTAGATTCTGATAAAGAAAGAAAGAAACTGATATCATGGCTTATAGAAAATGGATGAGAAAAATGAAATGGAAAAAAAAAAAAAGACTATTCATTCTCTTTTTTCATTGAATGGGAAAAATCAGTCCAGCGTCTCAAGCAATGGTTGTTCCCAGAAAGATAGCTGGCTCAGATGTATAATCCTAGCTATTCCGGAGGCCGACATCTGAGTATCACACAACTCAAGCCAGATGGGGCAGGAAAATCCATGAGACTCTTTATCTCCAATTAACCACCAAAAAAAGCTGTGGCTCAAGTGGTTGACTGCTAGCCTTGAACAAAAAAGCTCAAGGACAGTGCCCAGCCCTGAGTTCAACTAGCAGAGGGGGGGGTGGGGGGGGGGGGGGAAGGAGAGAGGGAGGTAAGGGAAGGAGGGGAGGGAGAGGAGAGAGAGAGATGGAGAGAACAAGAGAGAGACAGAGAGAAAAAAAGATACCATTTTTGTTTCCCACAATCAGATTGACAGTTTTCTCACTGAGCAATAAAAAAATTCTATGATATTTTACTTTCAAGTCAGAAAAAGTTTAATCTGTAATCTTTATCCAGGAAAAAGATAGAATTTCTGGTAAATGGCCATGGCTGATGACTTTATGGTTCTAGGAATATAAAAAGAACTAATATAGAATGTGAATATCTTTCAATAATTTAGAATTAGTTTAGACTTACCATTCCAATTACAGTTAAAATCTCCTAAAATAGAAATCCATTCATCTACTCACACACCCACAGACACATCCATCTAACACTGAACCTAAAACAATGGTTTAGGTCTCAGGACATGTAGAGAAAAATGTAATTACCCTTGTCTAATCAAAATAAATTTAGACACTGAAACAAGCTGACAAGAAAGGCATTCAACCTATTTAGGATAGGAGCCCTTTCTATGAAAAGTTCTCTATAACTATATTCCCAATCTGAAGGAAAATCTAAAGAGTGGAAAGATGATCAAAGATATTACTATAACACATTTTGACAAAGCTTCTGTTTATAAACGAACCTGAGTATCAGGGACCTGTAGTTAATATCCTATGGCCCATTTTCCCTAATTAATTTACTCTCTTCCCAACTCACTTATCCTGTAATTGCATGCTGAGGTGTGGCCATGCTGGTTTTCTGTCTTAGTCTGGGTAAAGGTATGTATATGTACAGGCACATGTAGGTACAGGACATTTTCCTTAGGTATAGGAGTAGAATGTCATTCTTTTTTTTAAAATTGTTATTAGAAAGGTGATAGTTTTTGCTATTTGGAGTCTTCCATTTTTCCATATGAATTTTTGGATTGCTTCTATATCACTGAGAAGTGTTGTAGGAATTTTGATGGGTATTGCATTGACTTTGTAGATAGCTTTGGACGGTATTGCAATTTTTACAATGTTAATCCTCCTAATCCAAGACCATGGGAGATTTTTTTACTTCCTTAAATCTGCTTGAATTTCCTTTTTCAAGTTTTTAAAGTTTTCATCATAGAGGTCCTTTATATCTTGGTTTCCCTTATTTACAATAACTAGAATATGTCTATATATCTACAAGTTAATCCAATGGATAATAAAAGACAAATAATTACACTAGGACACGATTAATTAAACAGCAGTCTAAGCATCTGCACAGTGAGAACAAAGGAGACTATTCTTAGGAGAGGATCACAGTGGCTCAATAGCTATGTGTATATGACCATATAAAATGATGCTTATTGAAATGAGCTTGAAAAAAGGGAAACACGAGGTTTATTATTGTAGTGTTTGTAGTTATTTGCTGTGCAAAAATATTGATGTAATTCCATTTGTCAAGTCTTTCTTCTATCTGATGTGCACCTGGGACTCTTCAAATAATTTCTGCCTATTCCTATGAGTTAGTTCTAGTGTTTCACCTACTGCCTCTTGCAGTAATTTCAAAGTTTCAATAGACTGTTATTCTTGAATTGGATAGGGAAAGTGGGGTTGCTAATAAAGGGAAAGAAAGGAAAAGGGAGATGCTCCAGGATCCTGAAGGCCTTGACACTTCCAAAGACCTGAGGGTCTTTGTTAACTCTTTTAAGTCAAACACCCTTAAAACATTAAGAATTATAAAATGTATAAGCATTACTGGTTTTACAACTCCTGTATTTCCTTGTTCTTTTCCAAATTATAAGCATTCTTTAAGAACACACAGTATCTACCTGTTTGGTCTTTACTATTTCAGAAAATGTCAGTTCACATGCCATAGTTATTGCCTGTGCACTCTTCCTATAGTCCTGTTCTCTCCACAAATCTGCATCTTTTATGAAAGCAGACTATAAGCACTCCTAATGGGGTTATCACAGCTAGTTCAAAATGGCTCCCTTTGATTTTATTCCCAATGATTACTACTACTTCCAATTACTGTAAAACCCCCATAATAAACAATAAGGAAATAGAGGCTGTGAGTATGGACACAATCTGTAGCCAAAGAATATAAAACCAGTGGCATTTTAGAAGATAGAAACAGCAAAGCAACAGCACTTCTCAGGATCAGAAAGCATGTATGTATGGATGAGGCAGAGCAGAGGCTGAAATTGAAAAGCTAGGTACTATTTATTTACTGATCATTAGTACTAGGAGTAGAGAGACAAAAACTGAAAGACAGGAAGGGTCAGAGACAGATGGTTAACTTATTAGAGACATATTTATAAAAAATAAGATGGCAATAGCTTCCAAAAGACAAGGAAAGTTAAGTCATGGTAAGGATTTTTTTCAAGTAGTTGCACTTGCCATGAAAATTATTTGTTAAAAAGCGAAACAACAACAACAATAACAACAACAAAGCTGAGCACTGGTGGCTCATGCCTGTAATGCTAGCTACTCAGAAGGGTAAGATCCAAGGATGGTGGATTGAAGTTAGCCAGAGCAGGAAAAGTTCATGAGACTCTTCTCTCCAATAAACACCAAAAAGCCAGATGTGGAGCTGTGGCTAAAGTGGTAGAGTACCAGTACTGAGCAAACAAGCTACGGGACAGCACCTAATCTCTGGTGCTTGTCTATAGGGGGGGAACCCTATAGTTTATAATAGAAAATTACATGTTTTGATGGTTTAGAAATAGTTACATAATCCATAACCAAACATTTTATGCACATTTTTAAAAAAGCAAAATGATATGTGAAACATAGAAATATATCAACTTACGAAGACAAATATCAACCAAAAGGTTAACCAAATCCAAATGTAAATAAAATTTGTTTCACTATTGTTATACTGTAGAAATTCCCATGAAAGGTGGATTAAATGAATTCAATCCTGTCTAGTAATCTTTTAAAATGAAATAACAAACCTAAATCTAGTGAACAAACCTGGTTTCTTTTAATCTAACCTTTTATTCTTCAAAGTAAGATTCCCAAGTCTATTGGTAAGGAAGAAGTAGGTAAAAATCTTTCCTTGTGTTTTTGTTTTTCCGTGTGTGTGTGTGTGTGTGTGTGTGTGTGTGTGTGTGTGTGTGTGTGTGCATGCGCGTGCGCACGTGCGCATGCGTGCACGCGTGGTGGAGGCAGGTAGCAGTGG